CTTATTATTAACATTTTGCATTAGTGTAGTACATTTGTTACAATTGATGAACCAATACCCAGATATTATCATCAACTATAGTCCTTTATTTATGTTAAAGGTCACTCTTGGTGTTGGGCACTTCTGTGGGTTTTGACAAATGCTGTATGACATGTATCCAACATTACAGTTTCTTTTTTTTTTTTTTTCAACGTTTATTTATTTTTGGGACAGAGAGAGACAGAGCGTGAACGGGGGAGGGGCAGAGAGAGAGGGAGACACAGAATCGGAAACAGGCTCCAGGCTCCGAGCCATCAGCCCAGAGCCTGACGCGGGGCTCGAACTCACGGACCTCGAGATCGTGACCTGGCTGAAGTCGGACGCTTACCCGACTGCGCCACCCAGGCGCCCCTACAGTTTCTTAAGAGAATAGTTACACCAAGCTAACAATCCCCTCAGAAATTAGATTCCATGAGGCCTTTTTCTCTCTATGGCACTTCATCTCCACCCGACAATATTCTAGAGTTGAGTTATTATTATTATTATTATTATTATTATTATTATTATTAAAATCCAAGTTGGTTAACATATAGTGTAATAATGATTTCAGGAGGAGAATATTTTAGTGATTCATCACCAAGATATAACACCCAGTGCGCATCCCAATTAAGTGCTCCTTAATTCCCATCACCCATTTAACCCACCCCCCACCCAAAACCCCTCCAGAAACCCTCAGTTTGTTCTCTGCATTTAACAGTCTCTTATGATTTGCCTCCTCCCTCTCTGTTTTTATTGTATTTTTCCTTACCTTCCCTTATGTTCATCTGTTGTGTTTCTCAAATTCCACATGAGTGAAATCATATGATATCTGTCTTTCTCTGACAGACTTATTTCACTTAGTATAATACCCTCTAATTCCATCCATGTTGTTACAAATGGCAAGATTTCATTCTTTTTCATCTCTGAGTAGTATTCCATTGGATATATGTACTGTATCTTCTTTATCCATTTGTCAGTCGATGGACATTTGGGCTCTTTCCATAATTTGACTATTGTTGATAGTGCTGCTCTAAACATGGAGGTGCATGTGCCCCTTCAAATCAGCATTTTTGTATCCTTTGGATAAATACCTAATAGTGCAATTGCTGGGTCATAGGGTAGTTCTAGTTTTAATTTTTAAAATTTTGTTTAATATTTACTTATTTTTGAGAGAGACAGAGACAGAGAGAGACAGAGCACAAGTGGGGGAGGGGAAGAGTGAGATGGAGACACAGAATCCAAAGCAGGCTTCCAGCTCTGAGCTGTCAGCATGGAGCTTGATGCAGGGCTCGAACTCTTGTGAGATCATGACCTGAGCCAAAGTCAGATGCTTAACAAACTAAGCCACCCAGGAGCCCTTATTTTTGATTTTTTGAGGAACCTCCATACTGTTTTCCAAAGTGGCTGAACCAGTTTGCATTCCCACCAGCAGTGCAAAAGTGTTCCCCTTTCGATACATCCTCACCAACATCTGCTGTTTCCTGAGTTGTTAATGTTAGCCATTCTGACAGGTGTGAGGTGGTATCTCATTGTGGTTTTGATTTGTATTTCCCTGAGAATGAATGATGTTGAACATCCTTTCATGTGTCTGTTAGCCATCTGATGTCTTCTTTGGAAAAGTGTCTGTTCATGTCTTTTGCCCATTTCTTCTCTGTTTCTTTCTCTCTCTCTCAAAAATAAATAAACATTTTAAATAAATAAATAAATAAATAAATAAAAAGTTGTAATTATTATTGGTCATCAGGGGTTGAAGATTTAACATCATGAGTAATATCCTTGATGGGAAGAGGAATTTTCTATTGAGACTACACATTACTCCATGGCTATCTATTTATTTATTTATTTTTTTAACTTTTTTTTTAACTTTTTTTTTATTTATTTTTGAGACAGGGAGAGACAGAGCATGAACAGGGGAGGGGCAGAGAGAGGGAGACACAGAATCCGAAACAGGCTCCAGGCTCTGAGCTGTCAGCACAGAGCCCAACACAGGGCTTGAACTCACGGACCGTGAGATCATGACCTGAGCCGAAGTAGGCTGCTTAACCGACTGAGCCACCCAGTCGCCCCACCATGGCTATCTATTTAAAAGAATTCATTGGAAAAGTTCAAGGCACTTCCCCATATCAGATCATCCCCGACAGTGAGCCCTGTATCAAAAGACTGCACCAACCATTTCTAAACATCAACCAAATTTTGGACAATATGAGAATGATTTGATTAACAATTTGCAAAAATATGTATATCACTTCTTAAGTAGCTTTGTATCACATGGTTTAGTTTACTTAGAAATAAAGCAGGGGCGGTGGTGGAGTGTGTTTTAAAATTTTTGATCTGTGCATTGAGTTAATAATTATTTACATTACTCCGTAGGTTGTTAAATCTTTTGGAGGGGGGGTTGTGGGTTTCTTTTCTTTTTTTTTTTTTTTGGTTGTTAAATATTTGTAATACCTCCGCACACCTCACAGAGATTTTGTAAGGATTGAATGAGATTATCAGTGTAAAGTTCTCAGGTAAGAGGAATAGACTAACTTTACTGTTAGTAAGCATGACGAGTCCACGGATGGATTTTTCTCTTTCCATTTGAGACTTCCCTCTTGATATATCTGTGTAACCTTTGACAAATTACTTTCCTTTTATGGGGCCTTGCTAACGCACCCCTACCAATCAGTACTTACCAACAGCTGTTGGTAGCACTTCCTCTGCTCTCTAAGCGTCCAAGCTGCGGTCTGCAAGTTTCCTGACCCAGTTGAGTTTCATACAGGGAAAATGTTCTAGACACGTCAGCTCTTCTGAATGTACCCCTGCCCCTGCCCCCCAGTCCTCCTGGGCATGAAAGTCCTCAGGGACTGGCCCCGTCCACCACCCAGGCAAGGATGCATGAGATACTGGTGGGGAAAGTGTCAAACCGGCCATGCCTGCAAAACCTCCAATTTCCTTTGGCAACAGTTCTGACATGGAGAAGGATCATCCCACCAGAGATTAAACTTGTGAGGTTCCTTCCCTCCCTCTCTTCAGCAAGAGAAATTACCACCACTATCCCAGCATGAAAATCACCACTGGGGCACCTGGGTGGTGCATCCGACTTCGGCTCAGGTCATGATCTCACAGTTTGGGAGTTGGAGCCCCGTGTTGGGCTCTGTGCTGACAGCTCGGAGCCTGGAGCCTCCTTCGGGTTCTGTGTCTCCCTCTCTCTCTGGCTCTCCCCTTCTCACACTCTGTCTCTCCCTCTCTCTCTCTCTCTCTCTCAAAAAATAAATTAACATTAAAAAAAAAAAAAAGAAAATCACCATCAATCACTGTCGTGTTTTTTACAAGAGGTGCCCAAAAAGCAACTGAAAACAAATTTTTTTAGTGGTTATTTACTTTTAAGAAAGAAAATGTGCCAGCAAGGGAGGGGCAGAGAGAAGGGGACAGAGGACCCAAAGCAGGCTCTGTGCTGGCAGCAGAGAGTCTGATGCGGGGCTCAAACTCACGAACTGCAAGATCATGACCTGAGCCAAAGTTGGACGCTTAACTGACTGATCCACCCAGGTGTCCCAAAAGCAACTTTTTAAAAAAGTTTACTTATTTTGAGAGAGACGGGGAGGGAAGGGGCAGAGAGAGAGAGAGGGAGAGAGAATCCTAAGCAAGCTCTGCACTGTCAGTGCAGAGCCCAATGTTGGACTCGAACTCGAGAACCATGAGATCATGACCTGAGCTGAAATCAAGAGTCAGGTGCTTAACCGGCTGAGCCACCCAAGTGCCCCCCAAAAGCAACTTTTACTATCAGAAGGGAATAAGGGCCTTCTATGCACTGAGAGTTAACTAATGATTTGCTTCCAGACAGTGGCCAGGTGGCAGACCCTGGCTTTGCTCAGTCCCCCAGGGGCGGGTAGGTGTGAGACCCAGAATGACTCACCACCACAGGATAGGACGTGGGGAGGCCAAGCAAAGAGCACCTGGACCGAATGCACACAGTAGGTTGGACGATGTCCCAGAAGGACATGTACCTGGGCAGGAAACTGACTTCCCCCAGAGAGAGCCCCTGTCCACAGAAAAGTGGGAGACCTATAGGGCAGGCCTTAGAGTGGCAAAAGAAATCACCACCAAAGTGGCCTGGCCAGATCACAGCTCCCTCCACTTGGGAAGCCCCTCACACTTCCTACTCCCCACTTCAGACTGGTGACACTGGAATATGTGGCTTTACTTCTTTTAAGTTTTTATTTATTTATTTTGAGAGAGCAGGGGAGGGGCAGAGAGAGAGGGAGAGAGAGAATCTCCAGCAGGCTCTATGTTCAGTGTGGAACCTGCCCTGGGCTGGATCCCATGACCCCGAGGTCACCACCTGAGCTGATATCAAGAGTCAGATGCTTAATCGGCTGAACCGCCCAGGCGCCGCTATGTGACTCTACTTCTGCATACATTTCACAGAGCCAGGAGAATTCTAGATGGAGTAGAAGTGGATCACAAGCCTCTCTGGGTTGTAACGTAGAGACTCAGAGACTGCTGGGGGCCCTTGTTACAATACAGAGTCCCAGGTTTTATTCCTAGTAAGTCTGGAGTGGGGCCTAAGAACCAGCATTTAATATAATATTTAATACAAGACATTTCTTTTTTTTTTTTTAATTTTTTTTAATGTTTCTTTTTGAGAGAGAGACAGAGTGTGAGTGGAGGATGGACAGAGAGAAGGGGAGACACAGAATTTGAAGCAGGCTCCCAGCTCTGAGCTGTCAGCACAGAGTCTGACATGGGGCTTGAACCCATGAACCACCAGTCTCTTCGTGCAAGAACTCATTGGGGGAACACAGGTCGGTCAAACCAACCAATCATATTTTGTTTCAAACTTGTCTAGGCACCTCCAATTACTTTTACGTTGTCAAAAAAGAGGAAGTTCCCTAAATGACTCACCAGTATGGGGTCATCATGCCTCCTGTGTCCTCCTCCCTAATTTCTTCTGGAGCTGTTTCAAGAAACTGTTCTTTTAGGGCATTTTTTTCTTCTCTCGCATGTATGGCTCATTTGCTATTTTGAAGCTTGTGTCTCCAAACCAAAACGTGATGTGGAAAAAGAGTTTTCTCATGTTCCTTTTCTCTCTCTCAGTTCAAAGAGCTGCCCTGGATTGTGAATGGAGGAACAGTAAGTTTCATTTACTTCCTTCTCTCTTTTACCAAAACTCTTTTCACCGACACGTGGAGATGGTCAGCTTTCAGCACGACCATTCACGAATAAGTCTTTCTTTGCTTTTAGACGAACAACCAAAGTCAAGTCTTTTCTGTTACCTACAGTTTAAAAGGAAATGCTGGGAGGGAGGGAGTTGAAGGCTCTTTGCTGAGGTTCAGAGATTAAATGTTGAGATTGCTTTTACGCTGAAATGTTTCTTTCTTTCTCTGTTGTTATTGGTTTTTTTTTTTTAATTTAGAAAATCAACACATAATCATTGTAAAATAATTCAAGCAACAAAATAAAAATATATATTGGGAGGTGGTTTATCATCATGGAACTAGACCAGCCAGGCTTGTGGTCCTAACCCCGGTTTCTACCGTTTTCCAGCAGGGAGGCTGGGTGTCTGATGTAACCACCCGACACTTAATCTCTTTCCTCTGTGATGTGAGGATAATAACATCACCTACCTGGGAGGGTTCTTACGAGGACTCGGTGAGACAAGCCATGTCCCTTAGCACAGAACTTGGTATATGGTAAGCTGTCAGTAAATGCCAGCCCATGCTGCTGTGACTAGATGAAATATGAAAGTGCTGTTGTGCTCTCCAATTCTCCATTTCCAGAAGCAAGCACTTATCAACGGTCATTCTCTATTCGGTACCATAGGAAACAAACTCTTCTGTGACGTGTCCTTTTTAATTTATTTTAAAGTTTATTTATTTACTTGAGAGAGAGAGAGCAGGGGAGGGGCAGAGAGAGAGGGAGAGAGAGAATCGCAAAGCAGGCTCTCCACTGTCAGCGCGGAACCCCATGTGGGACTCAAACTCACGACCCTCAAGATCATGACCCGAGCTGAAATCGAGAGTCTTGATGCTTAACTGAACCACCCAGGGGCCCAGTCCTATTTTTAGATGACAATACATCACAGAAATCCTTGTAAGCAGTAGATGTAGACTCACCTCTCTTTTTTCAACGGCTGCTTGGCATTTCATAATGTGACTCAGCCATAGTTCATGTAACCACCCCTCTTACTGATTTATCCATTTTTTTCTTTGTAATGTAAACAATGCTGCAATGAAAATCCTCATACAAAACATCCTTTGTGGACACAGGAGAGGGGGAGAGCATCTCTGGAGGATAAAATCCTGGAGGTGAAATCGCCAGGTCAAAGGGCATGTACATTTGAATTGTTAAGTTGCCCTCTCAACACGCAGACCGGGTACCCAGTCACAGGGTGTGTGTCCCAGCCTTCTCCAACAGTGGACACAATCTGTTTTAAATTTGTGCCAATCCGATGAGTAAAAAACAATATCTCAGTGCTGTTTTGACCTCATCACTTGTGAGCCAGAGCATCTGCTTCATGTTTATTGGTCATGAAAGCTCCAGAAGTTCTATGGAAAGGAAATTTAGGGACAGCTGTCTGGTTGGAAGGAGAGGAGAGGCTTTATCTTGAAGCTGAGCTTACAGAAACTGAGAAAATGTCAGTTGTCCAGATCAAAAAGGGGAAGGGAGCTTGATGACATTTTTGAGGGGCCTAAACTCCTCCTCTACCCAAACTGTCCCGTGGCCCTACCATTATTTAATGGCCTTTTGCATTCATTCTTCTGGAAATTACCTATTCATATTATTTGTCCATTTATTTGTCTTTTTCTTATTCAGTTGCCATTGACATATCTATCTATATCTATCTATCTATCTATCTATCTATCTATCTATCTATCTATTTATCTACCTACATACATGAAAATATATATACATGAAAAATCCCTTGCTTTCATTTATATGTTAAGTATTTCCTTTTAGATTGTCACTTGTCTTAATTTTGCCATAGAAAAGCTTTAAGTTTTAGGGGAGTCGATTTTTCAGTCTTTTCTCTGTGGCTCCAATTTTTGTGTCTTATTTGGAAGAGCTTTTCTTCTCAGGTGATACAAAAACATTTTCTAATATTTCTTTAATTCCTTAATAATTTTATTCTTTTACATTAGATTTTCTGATGAGGGTTATTTTTTTCCTTGGCATTTTAAAATAATAAAATACAAATATACAAGCTATCAAAGACTACTAGCTAGTGTCAAAGGACTCATGAGGGGCTCCTGGCTGGTAGAGCATGTGACTTTTGATCTTGGGGTCATGAGTTTGAGCCCCATGTTGTGCCCCATATTGAATATAGAGCTTACTTAAAAACAAACAAACAAACAAACAAACAAACAAAAAACAAAACAAAAAAGGACTCAGGAGCTGGTATAGAGATGCTTCTCATGGCCAAAAAATGGGACAATAAAAATAATAATTGCAATGGATTGAAATACATCAAATATGTAAACTATGAGTTCATAATGATTCTTTTCTTAAAAAAATTTTAACATTTATTTATTATTGAGACACAGAGAGAGACAGAGCATGAGCATGGGAGGGACAGAGAGAGAGGGAGACACAGAATCCGAAGCAGGCTCCAGGCTCTGAGCTGTCAGCACAGAGCCCGACGCGGGACTTGAACTCACAAACCATGAGATCATGACCTGAGCTGAAGTTGGATGCTTAACTGACTGAGCCACCCAGGTGCCCCAAGTTCATAATGATTCTTAAACAAACAAATAACAACAGTGAAAGAAAAATATCCTGTTACAAGATGCTAGGAAACCAACTCATTATTTTCAGAACCAGTCAATAAAGGAAGAGAATCAAGCATTTATCCTGCTTTTTCAATGCAAACCGTATCTCCATATAACCATAGTTGATGGGGGCAAGTTTCTCTTTATAGAATTATTTCAGATAATAAATGGAAAAGGAATGAATTAGTATATCACCATTTTGCAACCTCTAATGAAATAATGCTTCCAAGTGATTATTGTCAAAGCCGACTAAGAAACAAAAAGAGAGATGACCAGACATTATGTGCCTCGTAATCGAAGGAGTGCACACTATCCTCATGCATTCTTGCTAAATAAAAACTAATCTGGGGGGCACCTAGCTGGCTTAATAGGAAAAGCATGAGCCTCATGATCTTGAGGTCATGAGTTCAAGCCCACATTGGGTGTAAAGATTACTTAAATAAATAAAACTTAAAAGAAAAAAAAGCTAATCTGAATTTCATTAAATTGAGGGGACAAGGGACAGAGGACCAAGGTTAAGGATACCATGGGAATGTGATCAACAAAATCCAGACCATGGAAAACACTATCGAACAAAGAGCTTACCATCTTCCACAAATAAGTTGCAAGGGAAAGAAAAAGATGGAAACATCTACAGATTTAAAAAGACATAAGAAATAGGGGCACCTGGGTGGCTTAGTTGGTTAAGTGTCCAACTTCAGCTCAGGTCATGATCTCACAGTTCGTGGGTTTGAGCCCCGTGTCGGGCTCTGTGCTGACAGCTCAGAGCCTGGAGCCTGTGTCAGAGTCTGTGTCTCCCCCTCACTCTCTCTCTCTCAAAAATAAATAGACATTAAAAAAAATTTTTTTAATTAAAAAAAAAGCAGGGAGGGACCTGGGTGGGCTCAGTCGGTTAAGCCTCTACTTCGGCTCAGGTCATGATCTCACAGTTTGTGAGTTTGAGCCCCTTGTCGGATTCTGTGCTGACGGCTCAGAGCCTGTGTCTCCCTCTCTCTCTCTGCCCCTCCCCTGCTCACTCTCCGTTTCTCTCTCTCGAAAATAAATAAACATTAAAATTTTTAAAATAAATAAATAAAAATAAAAATAAGATGTAAGAAACATATCAACTAATTACAATGCACCGTTTTGGATCCTAAAAAAACAAAACACAAACACAAACACAAAAACAAAAACAAAAAAAAACCCCACCAGGAGACAGGAAAATTTGAATACTAACTAGATGTTTGATACAACATTTCAAAAACAATGTTAATTTTTGGGTGTGATAATGGTATTTTTACAAAAAAGAATCTTTACCTTTTAGAGATACAAACTATCACTGTCCTCCAGGCAAAGATCACCAAGGACACATGTGTAGTTGAACAAAGCTGGGTGTATTGACTCTTGGAAGTGACAGCAAGTGTGTCCCATGGGAGCCATGGGATGTCTCAGCAAGAAGGTGTTAGAATCTTATGATAAGATTTGGACTTATGTTAGGTGATTTTGGAGGGAGATCCAAAGCAGCAGGCTTTCCTCTGGATTGGATTCTTTCAGGGAGTGAGGATAGTGATATGGTTGGCCATCTCAATAATTACGATCTAAAAGACAGGAAGAACGGAGCAAGGCAGAGTCAGGGCTGATGAAGATTCAGTAGTCACTCATATCAGCCAGTTCAGGGGGATGTTTGGCCATTTTTATGGTTTGGACGATGCTCACGTCTTTATCTGCGTTCGGAGATGATCGTGAAATTATCTTGTGTTTGTCTCAATCCAACATGGTCACAGGGTCTTTGTCTGGTATTGGTGTTCTTAGCGGTGGGTCACTTCCTAGCCAGGCCGGTTCTCACTTGTCAAGGGCTGTTTTTATTCTCAATACTGAAATTTATGGAGGAAATAATATGTGGTCTTGGACTTGTTTTAAAATAATGGAAGGGGAGGTTTCCTGGGTGGCTTGGTCGGTTAAGTGTCTGACTCTTGATTTCGGCTCAAGTCATGATCCTATGGTTGTGAGATCAAGCCCGGAGTTGGGCTCTGTGCTGGGTGTGGAGCCTGCTTATGATTCTCTCTCTGCCCTTCCCCACTCACATGCCACTCCCCCCCCATCAAAAAACAAAACAATAAAAATAAAAATAAAAATAATTGAATGGGATGGGAGGCGGATGAAGCAGTTGTGACTACGAGTTGATACTTGTTGAAAATGGGTGGTAGGCCCCTGGGGGATCATTACATACTCTTCTCTACTGTTGTATTAAAATTTTTCTGAAATAATAATTTTTTTTCCCGGGGCGCCTGGGTGGCTTACTTGATTAAGCACCCAACTTTGGCTGAGGCCATGATCTCACAGTCCACGGGTTTGAGCCCCGCATCGGGCTGTGTGCTGACAGCTCAGAGCCTGGAGCCTGCTTCAGTTTCTGTGTCTCCCTCTCTCTCTGCCTCTCCCCTGCTTGCCCTCTGTCTGTCTCTCTCTCTCTATGTCTCTCTCTCTCTGTGTCTCTCTCCCTCTCTCAAAAATGAATAAATATTAAAAAAATTTTTCAATAATTTTTTTTCAAAATAAGAAATTTAAAAGAAATAGTGGTCCAAAAAGGTCACCAGACATAATGTTTGGTCAGAGAACCTAGAATTTTAATATTTATTTCAAAAAATTTTTTTCATGTTTATTTATTTTTGAGAGAGAGAGAGTGAGAGTGAGAGAGAGAGAGAGAGAGAGAGAAAGAGACAGAGGGAGAGTGGAGGAGGGGCAGAGAGAGAGGGAGTCACAGAATCCCAAGCAGGGTCTGTGCTGTCAGCACAGGGGCTAGGTCTTACCAACCGTTAGATCATGACTTGAGCTGAAATCACGAGTACAGACTCTTAACTGACCGAACCACCCAGGCGCCCCGGAATTTTAATATCTCTAAGTCAGCACAGCCAGTCTTAAGGGAGTGTCTTTTATCACACTGTACACCTGCAACTAATATCATACTGTGCGTTAAGTAACTGGAATGAAATTTTTTTAAATTTATTTATTTCGAGAGAGGCAGAGATAGTGCGAGTGGGGGAGGGGCAGAGACAGAGAGGGAGACAGAGAATCCCAAGCAGGCTCCTCATTGTCAGCTTGGAGCCCAATGTGAGGCTCGAACTCACGAAACCGCGGGATCGTGACCTGAGCCAAAAACCAAGAGTCGGATGCTTAACCGACTGAGCCACCCAGGCGCCCCCTCACTAGGATTTAAATTTAAAAAAAGAAAGAAGGAAAAATTAGAGTGTCCACTTCAAGCTCTCACCAGCAGAAGAGCTAGCAAGCACGGAAGAGCTGGTCAAGGCCACCCATCCGTCACTGGAAGGAGCCTCTGTAGGTGCTGAGGCTTTCCTCACACACTGGTCAGCCTGGCTGTGCTGACAAGAAAGTTCTCCAGGAACGAGCGTCTCTACCCCTTGACCCACAAACTGTGGCCAGATTACCACTTAGTTATTAAGCGACATTAACAAAGACTTTTTTCTTGTGTTACTCTGTTTTCCAGAACTCCTTTCTCCAAGTTTGAACTCAAAAACAAATGCAGTCACGAGGGGTCAAAATGTGTCTTTAATTTGTTCCAGCCAGAACCCATCACTACAGATCACCTATCTTTTGTTTCGGCATGAGAAGCACCTGAGAACCCAGGAAGGCAAAGGCGAACCCATGATTTTTAACCTAAGCGTCTCAGAAGCCCATGATTTGGGTCCCTACAAATGCAAAGTCCAAGTTTCTAACTGTTCAGTTATCAAATACAGTCATGAGTTCAACTTCACCTTTGTTGGTAAGTAGAGACTCATCCCTGGGGGGGCCCTGTGATTTGTGGGATACTTTCCTGTCCTAGAATGGGCTCTCTGCTCTCCTGTGAATACTCACTCAAGGGCTTGGAAAGTATGTCACTGAGATCTTTATTCTTATTAATTCCATTTTGCTTGCTCTTCCGAAGACTTTTTTTTTTAATGATTAATAGACTTCTTTAAGCTATTATAATACATAGGGTCATCGTTGCCAGACTTAATATGAAATGTTAAATGGTCGATCCAATTTTCCTTCCTAGGTAAGTTTTTCTTTCCTATTTCTGTCAGTTTTGAAAACATAATACCAGAAGAAGGGGGACCCAATTCCTAACAGAGCTCCTAAGAGTGAGGTCTTGGGACTGGGACAGATATTTGCTGATCTTGCATAGGGCCCAATGAATTAAGGCAGGATCTTTGGTGAGCCCTCTGCAGCTGAGATCATTGTACTGAAGCAAGTACTCCCATTTAGGTTGGGATCTTTTTTTTTTTTTTTTTAAACGTTTAGTTATTTATTTTAAGAGAGAGAAAGAGCGTGCATGCAAGGGTGCGAGTTGGGGAGGGGCAAGGTGAGAGGGAGAGAATCCCAAGCAGGCTCTGCAATGTCAGCGCTGAGCCCAACGCAGGGCTCAATCTCCCAAACAGTGAGATCATGACCTGAGGCGAGATCAAGAGGCGGGAGCTTAGTGACTGAGCCACCCAGGCGCCCCAGGTTAGTGTCTTATGACCAACCACTCAGTTTGCGCCTTCTGGGCTTCCACAGATGTGCCTGTCGTATTCGGCTGGGTGGAAGATAGCAGGCATGGTGGCCAACCGCCACGGCTGGTATTTGGGGAATGACATCGTGGCAATCCGGCATACCTCTTCCAAAGACTCGTTGCTATTTCAAATAATGATAGCCTGATTGCCTTAGACAAAAAGCCTTATGCGAACAATTTGGGAAATTGTTGAGATCTTTTCTAGATGCTTTATTCTAGGATTCCCATCACGTAGGCAAAAACTACTTTTTCTCTGAAGGTGCAAGAAGACTTAGAATCAGTATTGGACCCTGCGGCAAGGGTCTTCAAAGCCCCAGGTCTTTTCCAACTTCTTCCCTTTGCAGTGACCACCCAGCAGGCATCCCACCAGCCAGCACTCTTCCTGCCCAACCACATCTTATTACTGCTATATTTTTCTCTCTCATCTTCCCACCCAAGCCTCTCACAACCTAGCATTAATGGTCTCATTTATAAAGGTGACCTTGATAAAGGACTTCTGAGAGAGGGAGAGAGGGTTTCCAGGTAATATGTGGGCATGGAACCTGGAGGCTTCTAAACATAAGAGCTCTGACTCACTGATCGAATCTTTGAGTGATTCTCTAGGTCTGTACTCTCTAGCATAGTAGCCACTAGCCACGTGTGGTTATTTACATTTACATCCAAATTAATTAAAACTAAATGAAGCAAAAAGCTCAATTCCTTAGTGTATTCAATAGCCACAGCCGGCCGGTGGCTGCCTTGTTCGTGCAGACAGAACGTTTCCATCATTACAGAAAGTTCTACTGAGCGCCATTGCTCTAGTGCAAGGGTTCTTAGCATTTTAGGTTATAGCTGTCTTAACAATCGAATGATAGTGATGGGTACTTTTCCTGAGACATATTCATGAGATTACAGATGCAAATCTCTGCATAAGGCTTTTAGGAGGTCCCGGTTAAAACCAACCATTTTAGGACAGTTTTGAACCCAAAATGAACAGAAGCCATACTGTAGAAGAAGAGTGAAGAAGGGGCAAATCCTTACAAACATGGTCTTAGGATGTGGTACATGACGTGAGGGCAGGCCCTCCGCTGATAATAGTCCATCTAGGCCACCAGGCTGGACTGAGCCGCCTTGTACTGCAGAAAGAGCAATGGGGTGAGCGTCGGGGAACCTGTGCACCCCTGGCTTCCCGTGCAACTTTGCATATTCCCTTTAGATGCGCCTTTGCTATATCTCCAGCCCTCAATCATTAAAATGGGTTAAATGGTAAAATACCATTTAACATGGGTTTTAACTCTGGGTGGGAATCTCAGTCTTTTGTGGGCAGCATGGGGTGAGGAGAGTAGGCACTTACTTGGCAGAGAAAACATAGGATTGTCCTTCAAATCACTGAGATTCAGTGTGAGAAAAGATGTCAAGACCCACTATTAGTGTGGGTTTCTTCCATTTGAATAACGGGGACCTACACTCCTGTAAGGAATAAGCCCAGTTTTAGATGGTTTATGAACTTGATGGCTGAAGCCTTAAATCAGCTGATTAAAAAAACCCCAAGTCTTCATTTCCTGAGCTTCTGTCCCACAGATAGGTATAATTTCAGTTCCATTGGAAGAATGTCCTATCAGTGCTCTTCCCAAAGTTGCTCTCTGAGACCACCATCACCAACCAGGTGCTGCCTTGTCAAGGATGTTGCTTCAGGGATTCTGCTCAAGGGAGGGGTGGAGCAAGGAGACTAAATCATTTTCCTTGATTTTACTTATACTTGGGTCCTTGTATTTCATTGTTTCTGTGCCAAACTGATATTGTTTAAAAAAAAAAAATCTGTTTGAGAGTTGGCCCTGGATCTGCTGGTTTACTAGCTGTGTGAGTTTCTTACCTCTCTGAATCACAGTTGGTTCATCTGCGGAATGGGCATGATATTATCCTCCTTGTAGTACTGTTGTTACAAAGTGAAATGAGGTAATGTGAATAGCAAGCCTGGTACATGATGGATACTCAACAATTATCCTTCCTTTCCTATAATACTGCTTTATTACTGAATTATTAAATAAATAATATAGCTGGATTCTCCCACAAAATACCCACACCACAGGGTTTTCCCTGACAGAGTTAAGCAGACCCACACACTTCCTGTTGAAAAGTTCTCTTGAATCTATCAGAGTTACTTCCTGCTTGTGGGAGGAAGTAGAAGATAATCATTCAGCTGAATTCTATAAATAAAAATACAGTTAGAAAAGATTATATTTTTAGATTTCTTTGATTAAAAAAAAAACAATGTAGCCTTATAAAGACTGGGACTAAGAGCGCCTCTCAACTTCATACTGGGAACTAGATCTTTGACAGAATTACACTTGTCAACAATAAACAGATGGAGAATTCTGCTGAAAGGCAAGTTTGTGCTTTGATTCCTCAAAGTAAGAGACACCCTCCACCCTCTGGTGTTCTCAGCACCCAGCTTGTGCCACACTGAGTGGAGCTAACCATATACCATTGGTCTTTCCCACTGGGCTGCAAGCTCCTTGGCTTCTCAAGAAGGGTGTCATTATCTTTGCGTCCACAGTCAGGAATAGAGGTTCAATCCATGCTGGTGGACTGAGTGGGTGAATCCATTCTGCTCATCCCTTTAACACATACTTTCATTTGCCTAGACCCAGTGATTACACCAGTGCTGAACGTTAACGTCATTAAAATAGAAACAGACCGACATATAATACTGCATTGCATCTCATTCAACGGCTCTCTGCCCATCAATTATACTTTCTTTGAAAAAGATACTGCCATATCACCAGCCATTTCCAAGTACGTAAGGGAGCCCGCTGAATTCAACTTAACCAAGAAAAGCACTGGTGGAAGGGAAGAGTATAGGTGCAAAGCTGAAAACAAATTGCCTGACCATGCAAAATACAGTCAACCAGTCTTCATCAATCCCTCGACAGGTAAGGGCTACCTGAACTCTTTCGACAGGCTCTGGATTTGCTTCCAAAAACTGCAGCCAGCCTCTCCCCTGCCCACGCACTTCCCACTTTGGCTGTATGCAAAGGCCTTTCCTTTGGAAGGTTCCACACAAATTCTGATGGGGTTTCTTTCTGCCATTCAAAAGAAGACAAAAAGCCTAGAAGCTAGGTCAGGAAGAAACCTTGCAGTGAGATTTCCTGACTTGACCCTGCTTCCTGCCTTGATCTCCCACTGCCTAGGTTCTAAGCTAGCACATTAGAATTTGCATCTTTCTTGGGCTTGGAGCCCAGTCTTGATTTTCTTCTGCTTTTTCATTGACTTCTAATGTCTGTGCCCTCCCGTTTGGCTGTTTCTTGCCCACTACTAATGCTTGGTGAGTCTAGACTTCTGGGGGACCACCCTTGTGGTGAGAAGGGCCCCTGTCCCAGTCCTGTGTTTTGGAAGGCACTGCTTTGGTGCTTCTTGGCCATGTATCTTCCCACAGGCTGAGGGGCCCAGGGGAACATGAGAATGTGCCCACCTGGACCCTGTATCTCCACTTTCCTAAACCGTATTCTGGGTACCTGCACCTGAATTCCCTACCCAGTCACATCAGAACCCTCCTTCCAGGACCTACACAAGTCTTGTTCCCAGCTCATCCTCCCAAGATTGTACCAGGGTAAGGAAGGATAGGAGCATCCCTAGACTCAAGTGTAGGGGGCTGCTTGTGGGGGGTGTGGACAGCATTTGGACATGCAGGCTAGAGGATCCATGTGCAGGTGAGGCCCCTTGGGGTGCACATCAGAGCTTGAGTGGAAAGCTGGGCTGGGCCTGGGGCTAGGGCTGACTCTCTTCATGCCGCCATATTCTGGCACAGAAGTCTGAAGAGTCTGAGAATTCTAGATTCAAACCTGGCTTTCCAGGTCCTTATGAAGGGACACTTGTCAAGGTAGGAGGAGGGTAGAACAAAAATGAGGTTAGCTAGGGCAGTAGGCACACTTGGGCATTGAACACTTCACCTAGCCTCATCCACAGAAGAACAGAGCCCACACCCTGCTCTTTGGTAAGTTCTAACAGATGAGGCAGCCTGTTGGACTCAGGCTCCAGAGTCCTGCTTTTGCCTACAAACCACAGCCCTTCCATGTACTAGCTGTGTGACTGTAGGAAAGTCCTCTCTGAGCCTTACTCATTTGTACAATGGGAGTGATATCAATGAGATAAATAAGGCAATGCACGCAAAGTGCTTAACACGGCATCTGGCGTGTAGTTAATAACGAATGGTAGCTGTTTAGGTGACATAAATCATGCCAACATGACTAAGGGCTTTGCCCAATAAGTGGCCAGGCTGTTCTGAGCCTTATGACTCTAACAGTGTTGCCAGGAATCTGGTTCAAGGCTGTGCTGTTTTTTCTCTTCCTTTGTGCGACCCCTTGTGGAAGATGTATTTGGTTGTGACTTTAAGAACTTCACTGACTAACAAGTTACCTCTCAAGAGTTGCAAGTGTCCATAGTGGTCTGAGGCAATTAAATTAGTTAATTTAGGAGACGGTTGTAAACTGCCCTTTCCAGAACACTCTACAGTTCAATGTCATTGGAAAAGAAAGCTGTGCGGTAACCAATGAACCGCTATCTTCTTCCAGGTGGAGGCAGCTGTCCTTTCTGTCTGCAGCTACTGCTTCTGGGATTATTGCTGGTGCTAATGGTAATAATCCCAATTCTGACATTTTGGATACTACCAAAGTACAGAGCAGGTAAGTGCTTTTGGCAGCTTTTCACGGTTTTCCGTGGGCGTTGGATGCAGAGAACAGGAGAGAAGGTGAAGAGGAAGGGAGAGGAAAATTAAAAATGGGATACGACGAAGGGGGCGCCTGCATGGCTCAGTCGGTTGAGCATCCAACTTCGGCCCAGGTCAGGATCTCGCAGCTGGTGAGTTCAAGCCCCGCACTGGGCTCGCTGCTGTCAGCTGAGAGCCCGCTTCTGATCCTCTGTCCCCCTCTCTCTGCCCCTCCCTCCCTCCCTCTCTCTCTCTCTCTCTCAAAAATGAATAAGCATTAAAAAAATTAAAAAAAATTGTAAAATACATGTAAAAAACCAATAAACATTACCATCTTAACCACTGTTCAGTATACAGTTCAGTATAAGGACACTGCTACTGCTCCACAACCATCACCACCATCCGTGCACGGAACTTTTCTCATCTTGCAACACTGAAATCCTGTCCCCGTTAAACCCTCCCCATTCAGCTCCCCTCACCCCAGCCCCTGACAACCAGCATTCTCCTTTCTTCCTCTATGAAGTTGACTACTCTGGGGACCTCATCTAAGGGAATCCTAGGGTGTCTCTCCTTTGGTAACAGGCTTATTTCACTCAGCGTAATGTCCTCAAGATTCATCCATGTTGGGCATGTGTCAGAAATTTCCTTCATTTCTAAAGCTGAAGAATATTCCATCACAGATACATACATAGATACAAATACATATATCCGCTAAATTTGTCCATTCGTCTGTCAGTGGGGCCTTGGGTTGCTTCTGCCTTTGGGCTATTGTGAGTAATGCTGCTGTAAACATGGGCACACAAATCTTAATAATTTTTTAACAAAAGGCCCCGCATGTTCGCATTGCACTGGGCCCTGCAAATGAGGTGGTGGGTCCCGACCGCCAGCTCCGCAAAGGCAAGAGCTTTGCCTTGTAATTGTCCACCTCCTTGCTGGCCCTGCCCCTCCGAGGAAGCTCCGTAATTGAAGATGAACTCGAGCAACATGCCTCTGCCTCACCTCAGGTGCTGCATCAAGCCCCAGGCACTGCTTTTCGCCAGTCACCTCTCAGGACCACCTCTACTTAAGATTTTGAAATTTGGCCTTTTCACTTGGCCCACAAGTATGGAGGAATATCAAGATTTGCACAAAAAAAACAGGATGTCTCCGTACCAGTGAGCCGAGGGGCATTGGGCAGGCTCCTTCACTTGCTGGAGCCTCAGTGTTCTGACCTGTAGAATGGGGAGATACTGTCACAGCTAGGGAGAGACCTAAGTGATGCATGTTAGCCACCTGTGCCTCCCCCTGTGCCTCCTCTAGAGAGTTTTAAGTCAGAGAAGTCAGGGACTCAGTTGACACAAAACTTGAAACTAGATGTCAAAATGTATACATCTTATACCTTTTTACAACCTGTCTTCCCTTCTTACAAAAAGCCCAGGGTCTTGCAAAAGTGGAATTAGCATTCTTGATTACTGGCCAGGATTCAATAGAACTCGGCTGGGTAATTTACTGTCTCTTGCAGATATTACAAAGCTTTTTACAGACTGTTCTTTTTCAGCAAAGGAAAGAAAATGTGTCTCTGGCCAACCCAAATGCAATCTGCATAATCTGATGGGCAAAGGATGTTCCTTGGAGAAATAAATAAATAAATCAGAAGGGCTTCTGGCTTGGAGAAGCGGGTGATATGGATTCCTCGCTGAGCCCATGGTTTTCCTTCAATGGATGACAGTGTAGGCCATTGGAGCAGGGTCATTCTTTGTTTCAGAACTTTGGGGGATTCGGCTCCTTGGCAGAGGAAATGAGAAAAATGTGGCTGAATTGGTTTAATGTTTCTGTACCAATTTATGTAGGAAAAGCTATGAGAGATCAGGCACCCAGAGACTATGGAAATACACCCATGGAAATTGGAATATATGCAAATGTCTGTGAAACTCAAGCAGGTAAGAGAACTTTGTTGGGCATTTTGATTGGTTTGGTTGGTTGGTTTCAGGTTTCATCTTTTAAAAATTTTTTTAAGGTTGTACAGACACACAGGTACAAAAAAAAAAAAAAATGAAGAAAAGTTATAGAATACAAGGGCTCCCTCCGACCCATGACGTCCAGTTCCACCCTGCTGGTTTAACCGTCAGTTTTTAAAATCCTTCCACAGATACTCTATGCATCTGGTAGCAGGTCATAGCCATGTCATCCTACGCCTTGATTTTTTTCACTTCACAACGTATCGTGGAGATATTTTAATGTCAATTCGGAATGATTCGCAGGGTGTTCCAGAGCCTCTTATGACCCCCTCTTAATGCAGGTATCATACGCTGCTTTATGGTAAATAGACCCAGGGCAGGGCCTTGGTAAGGATGAGAATAAACCCGGCCAACTGACTGAGGGCTGGCCTTGTCCCCAGGCATGGCGCTAAGCAAATTACCTGCTCTGTACTATGCAAACACCACTGACTCCCAATTTATCTCGTTCCCATAGACTCTGTGCCAGGCTTGGAACCAAGGCAGTGTGTTCGCACAGCCCAAGATGGTGAGTGCTCTCTGGGAAAAGTCCAGAGGCTGCACACCATTTCGAGGGCAGCTGGCTAAACCCTGCCCTCGAAATGGTGATCAGAGATTCGGATGACAGGCCTAGTAACTCTGTTCCCTGTCTTTTGCCCAGGAACTGGACACTCCCAGGAGATACATTATGCTACCCCCATGTTCCAGGAGGTGGCACCTGGAGGTCGTGGTGAGCCACAGTTTGGGATAAGAGATGCTAACAAAATGAGACCGCGGTTCCTGTGAGGCCACCATACTCTGGGGCTTTAGAAGCCCAAGGACAGGGTAGATGGGGGCAACGTGCACACCCAGGGTACCAGTAGCAACCAATACCACAGGTCCTAACAAATGACATCGGGAGACGGGTGGGTAGGGAAGAGGGAAGGATGTGACATAGTGACGTATAAAAAACTCAGAGAGGAGGATACCAGGGTACTCCTAAACCATTTTAAAGAATAAATTGTTTGTATACAGTCCAGGAAAAAAACCCAGTTAATTCTTGGTTCTGTCAATCCACCCAGCTACTAAAATGAGATTTTTTTTTTTTTTTGAGGGGTGGTGGTGGTTGGTTTTTAGAGACTCTATGGATATATACATTAGTTTTGCTGAATTATTTTCTCTTTTATATTTCAGAAGCCTGTAATGATTGTAAAACTGGATCTATCTATTCTGAGCTCATCAGAAGATGACATTTAAAGCTACAAGCTACATCTCAGAGTAAGATGCTTTTTATGAAGCTGATTTACATGAAGAAAAAGCAAATTTGACTGATACTTAAAAATATCTCACTGGTTACCTAAAATAAATTACTATTTTTCATGATCAAACACTATTCCTTTGGCCTATTTGGGTACATCCAATCCTGTCATCAGATAATAGTTTTGTCAGGTGGGATCCTGACTGGTGACAGGTTTTAAATGCTTTTGCTATTTTTAGGCATGGACCATTCTCTCCCCATTGCCACATCGTTAAAAAAGAGTAATTGTGGGGCGCCTTGGTTGGCTCAGTTGGTTAAACATCGGACTCTTGATTTCAGCTCATGATCTCACAGTCATTAGATCGAGTCTCCCCCGGGGCTCCACTCGGCATGGAGCCTGATTAAGATTCTCTCTCTGTGGGGCGCCTGGGTGGCGCAGTCGGTTAAGCGTCCGACTTCAGCCAGGTCACGATCTCGCGCTCCGTGAGTTCGAGCCCCCCGTCGGGCTCTGGGCTGATGGCTCAGAGCCTGGAGCCTGTTTCCAATTCTGTGTCTCCCTCTCTCTCTGCCCCTCCCCCGTTCTCTGTCTCTCTCTGTCCCAAAAATAAATAAATGTTGAAAAAAAAAAAAGATTCTCTCTCTGTGTCCCTCCCATGCTTTCTCTCTCTCTCTTAAAAAAAAAAAAAAAAAAAAAAAAAAAAA